ATACTTAATTTTATGGATTTTTCTCCAATTTGATACACTGATAGATCTTTTCAAAATACAATTAGGAGTCTTATTTGGTGTAAATATAGGCTACATGTGCAAAGTTATTCAACAAAAACCGCTCAAAGTTGACGAAATGTTTTGTGCACGCCTACGCAAAAAGGCACGTAAGCTATTGGTCTAACATTTTTACTACAGCTTCACCTAAGGGTAAAAGTTGACCGTTTTTAGTTTTTGTCATTCGGATTAAAGACGACTGATTTAGAACAGCAAAACTATAAGGTTAAGCCAAGCAAACTAGATTAGTAGTTTCAAGCTCAAGTTTTCAAAAGAATTATACGGGCGGATGGTTAATTATTGATTGCTAACTTTTTAGCACAATTTTACTAAATTTTATGAATTTATCCTAATTAAAGAGCATTTAGTGTCACGTGATATTAGCGCATTTAGCATAAATAATGATGCTTGATATGGCTGTACCGAGTGCATTTGGGTGATGACAAGAAACTGTTAATCCAACTTCCATGGCGTTACTATAAAGGAAGCTATTAACACTGTTTTAGAGAGGAAAAACTACCACCATATATTTTAAAGAATCTGGTTGGTTCTGTAAAGTACAGATGTGTTCCGAATAATAGGGTTGTGATCCTAAAGCTAATGTTGGTTACTATCTCACTGTGTCACTTTCTTACTTGCTGTGGTTAGTTGGTTTGCATTAACAAAAAGTCAGGATATGTAATCCAAAACACATTAGGTGTGAAAAATGGAGCGTCAAAAAATGATTGAGCCTGCGACTTAAGGGAATGAAATCAAAATTGATGGCCTAACTGGTAGCTACACTTGTAGCATTGATAATAATTTTACACCAAATATTTATTCATTAGTTAGCTAGGTCACATATTTTGTTTTACCGCGGCCTGGCTAACTTGTCACTGCTATAAGTGGAGCTAACAGTTTGGCCGCCAATTTTGATTTCATTCCTTTAAGTCAAACACTCAATCATTTTTGGCCGCACTTTTTTTCACACCTAAATATTTGTGATTAGATTTATTGATAGTATTAAGTATAGTAAAGTTTAGCCCTAACTAAACTAAAGCAAAAAACGTCCACAAGTTATAGTGTTAATTTATTTATTTATCGAATATAGGCCGTACTTAATAAAGGCTTAACTAATGCTAGGCTTAAGAAAAGTGAAGTTATATATTTTGGTGTCTACGATTAGAATTATTTTTTATTATTCTAGAAATCCTTTACTTAAAGAAGTACTGTTGACAATTAAGATATTAATTTGACTGTAAATGTTTGTGGATCTCTGCAGTTATTCTGTAGTTATTAGAATAACTATAATAATAATATATATATATATATATTATTATAATAACTCTGTATTTATTCAACTACATTTTATGTTCTATTTACTCGTTGTTTATAACGAGATTAACTTTGCTAAAGATTCTCACAGTCATGTGCTTAGCATGGCTAGGTGGTTAGAGCGCTTGATTCGCAATCTGAGGGTCGCGGGTTCGAATCCTTTTCATCAAGCATTCTCGACCTTTCAGTCGTAGGAACTTTAAAATGTGACGGTTAATCCCATTTCTCGTTGGTAAAGAGTAACCCAAAAGTTTACGGTGACTATTGTTGACCAGCTGCGTAGATATCCCACGAGTAGCTTCTCGCCAAATTCAAATTTTATTTTTCGGTCATCAATATTGTGTGGTATTTATTAACAATTAGTTAGTAACGAGACAAACAGCAATAAAACTTCGATTCTTTGTTTAGTTAACATTTCGTGCCGTCGCTAATTTTGAATAGTTTGTTTGTTTGAATTTATGCACAAAGCTACACAATGGGCTATCTATGCTTTGCCCACCACGGGTATCAAAACCAGGTTTCTAGCGTTTTAAGTCCACAGACATAATTTTGAAGAGATAGACCACAGAGAAGGCCTGCCCCCCCCCCCCAGTGGCACAGCGGCACGTCTGCGGACTTACAACGCTAGAAACCGGGTTTCGATACCCGTGGTGAGCAGAGCACAGATAGCCCATTGTGTAGCTTTGTGCTTAATTCTAAACAAACAAACAAACAGTCCTGGGACCGCATTGATAGTGGCGCCATCGTGCGTTAGCAGTTTTGCGCACGATTCCTCATTACCTGAACATGTTTTTACATACTAACTGGTGAAAGGTTTAGTAGACAGGGTTTTTTATAAAAGTTTTTTCTTTCTTTCCTAGAATAACTGTGACGACCAGGAGAGTTTTATCTGTTATTACTGGAAGCCAGATGAATCGACATCATCGAATGTATCTTCTACAAGTAATTTAACATCACCGAGTTTATCTTCTACAAGTAGCTTAACATCACCGAGTGTATCTTCTACAATTAATTTCACATCACCGAGTTTATCTTCAACAAGTAATTTGACATCATCAACTGTATCTACGACAAGTAATTTAATATCACCGAGTTCATCTTCTACAAGTAATTTAATATCACCGAGTTCATCTTCTACAAGTAATTTAACATCACCGAGTGTATCTTCTACAAGTAATTTCACATCACCGAGTTTATCTTCAACAAGTAATTTGACATCATCAACTGTATCTACGACAAGTAATTTAATATCACCGAGTTCATCTTCTACAAGTAATTTAACATCACCGAGTGTATCTTCTACAAGTAATTTAACATCACCGAGTTTATCTTCTACAAGTAATTTAACATCATCGAGTGTATCTTCTACAAGTAATTTGACATCATCAAATGTATCTACGACAAGTAATTTAACATCACCGAGTTCATCTTCTACAAATAATTTAACATCAACTTTAATAGGTAAGAAACAAAAATTAAATAAAATGGTCGTCTTTACGTTTGTTTATATTTCACCGTTTACCACAATGGAAATATACATAAAGTGAAAGGATAAGTATTATTAGTATCGTGGAAAAAATCGTTAGATTTGGAATAAATGGAATCTATTTCATGATGCAACGATGAACGATGTAGAACCAAAGAACACAAAATTTCAAAGATGTTATTGACGTTCTCGATGGAAGTGGTAAAACTCGCACAGTAAAGTGGTTAGGGTAGCAATAAACTCCAAAACCACACACCAAGCCAATCTAAGACAATACCTTCCATCCCTAAATTGAAAGAAATTCAAGAGTATGATTACAAAAAAAAAGAACCTTTCAACCCAAAAAAGACATTTTAATGAAGCTAGTCACATCTTCTGGTACCGTCAACAAGATAATGAACAATAATTTGAAATTAACAAAGATTCATAAGCCATAAGCTTCTCGCCACATTTCGAAATCGACATCTCTTTTCATGAGAAATATTGCTGAAGATGCAACAAAGATTACAGCAAGTCCATTCAATCGCATACTTGTAAAATTAAGATGCAACAAAGATTACAGCAATTCCATTCAATTGCATACTTGTAAAATTAAGATGCAACAAAGATTACAGCGACTCCATTCAATCGCATACTTGTAAAATTAAGATGCAACAAAGATTACAGCAATTCCATTCAAGTGCATACTTGTAAAATTAAGATGCAACAAAGATTACAGCAATTCCATTCAATTGCATACTTGTAAAATTAAGATGCAACAAAGATTACAGCAACTCCATTCAATCGCATACTTGTAAAATTAAGATGCAACAAAGATTACAGCAAGTCCATTCAATCGCATACTTGTAAAATTAAGATGCAACAAAGGTTACAGCAACTCCATTCAATCGCATACTTGTAAAATTAAGATGCAACAAAGATTACAGCAACTCCATTCAATCGCATACTTGTAAAATTAAGATGCAACAAAGGTTACAGCAACTCCATTCAATCGCATACTTGTAAAATTAAGATGCAACTCTAAGTGTCTAATACTTCTGGTCTGTTTAAAGCTTATTTGACGGTGTTCATATACAGTGGAACATTCCTCAAGATTTGTGACGTAAGACTGATCTCCTTCCCAAAAGCTTATTAGCATATTATAATGGATTGTTTGTTTGTAATTCAGCACAAAGTTAAACAATGGTCTATCTGTGCTCTGCCCATCACGGGTATTGAAACCCAGATTCTAGCGTTGTAAGTCCGCAGACATACTGCTGTGTCACTGGGGAGCAATTATAATGGAAACTGCAGTATCTGGTAATAGCTTGTAATCATGGCCGCCAAACTGAGCATGATGGAAAAAATAGTTCCAAAGACAACACTGGATTTGGAACATCGTTTTCTTTTCTTTTTTTTTTTAAAGTGATTGATCCTCAATAAATATACTATACCTATATTTTTTTCTGAATATTTAAAACGACTATTTCCTTATGCTTTTCGTAAACAGATATGAAAAGCTAAAACCGATTATTTGTAATTTATTTTCAGGCATATTGCACTACTATATTACGAGTTAAAAAATGTAAAACCAAAGTTTTTGGCACAATTAAAAGTAAAATCTTTATTATTAGTTACAGCCGACTAGTTTCTGTAACATAGTTATCATCATAAGATACTAGCCCTGATGATGATAACTGTGTTACCGAAAATAATTAGCTGTCTCTAATAATAAAGATTTTATTTTCAATTGTGCCAAAAAATGTCGCTTTTTGTGTTGCTGTTTTTAGCCGCGGCTGAGCGGCTCATAGAAAGGCTCTGATGTTTCATTTTCTTTTTTCAAGTACAAACTTTTAGTTCATAGCTTCGTCATCTCTTGACCGATTTGAAATCAAGTTACGGTGTTGGATTCAGGAGGTTAAATCATTTCGATTAATTTATTTTAATCTTACCTAGAAGAATTCCAAGTGCCGCGGCTATTGGGGATTCCCTCTTGTTATAATTGCATCCATCCCAGTGTTACATGATATAAAATTACGCCCAAGGTCTCATACATTAATTTACTCTAATCCTGTCTAAAAAAATTTCCATTTCAGGGTAGGTTGGTAGAGATCCTGATGAGTAATAAAATCGAATCGGGTATACCCGCGCTCAACGCTTGGTATTGCTGGCGCACAAAACTATGGCCAACAAATAAAAAGGGAAACAAAGGTCACATAGATTAATTAACTCTAATTCTGCCTAAAAGAATTTCAGGAGCCACGGCTATTGAAGATTTCTTTTTGTTTACTCTTAAGACCAGTTTTGTGTCTTTTAACTTATAGACAAGCCATTTCTTTCTTATTACATTTATTTTCTATTTATTTATGAGGAGTAAGAAGATAAATACATAGTTCTCATTTGTCTAGAAATAACTAATCGGGACAAACTGCTGTTCCTATAACTCAATAAAAAATGTTATTTGATAGGGAGAAGCTCGTCGTCACTATTAAAACATATGATATAATGAGAAAAGTCTTTAGCTGTTCAAAAGTCATCGATCGAATTTCCATTGCTATATATTTATATATTATTGGCTCACATTTCTCCTTGTATCAGATCTGCCTTTAGTTCTTCTAAAATACAGATGACAAAAAAGTGCCCCCCACATTGGCAAAGTAGTATGACTGGCGTAGCCGGGGGGGGGGGCATGCCCCCCTTTGGCTTGTATTTTTATTTTCTACTAATTTTCCCCATCAATTCCTAATTTAGCTATGTAAATTGTCACAGTTTTATGCTCTTTAGCTTCAACTTATATGTAGTTCACTCAAAATCCTATTCACGGTTTACAAACTTCCAATTTCAGCGTAGTCGCGATAGCTGAGTGACGTCAATAAACTGCTATGTTATAACACCCATTTAATTAATGTAAAGAAATTAATAAAGTTTAAATATTACAAAAATAAATAGAAATTATATGCAAATATGAATGTTAAGACTTGCCCCCCTTCAAATCCCTGGATACGCCAGTGTCTGCGGACTTACAACGCTAGAAACCGGTTTCGATACCCGTGGTGGCCAGAGCACAGATATCCCAATGTAACTTCGTGCTAAATTACAAAAAACAAACAGATAAAAAGCATTCTAAAGGCTATCAAGCTGTTTGTACTTAAGGGTATCTTTGTCCGTTATATCACTTAGGCACTGATTTTAAATCTTGATCCATTACTCAAACAACAGACCTTTACAAAAACCATCTTTTATTTTATGCAAGCTGCATATCAGCTGGCAATAAAGTTGTTTTGTTATAACATGTTGTTTGTTTTCTATCTAAAAGTTATACGTAATGTTGTGGCTCAGATTGGTCTTAAGCTAAGAATGACTTGATCTGAGATCTATATATTGCTTGTAAAAATCATGCTAATGGTTTAATTTCATAATTATTTTTTTTAAAGATTCTTCTTTCCAGTGTACCACTCCAACCCCAGGAACGACAACTAGTCATTGCTTTATGATCTTGTCTCCTATTGACGATCTCCAGTCAGCAGTAGCGCAATGTAGGAATAAAACTGGTGAAGTGGCCAGCCCGACACAAATGTTTAATCATAGTCTATTTCTCTTGAGCCTCATCACAAAGTATAACCTTCAGGCACCATATGTCCTAAGATCTAATACAGACTGCATTGTTTTGTCTGACAATACCACTCGTACTGAAAAGGTAAAAAAAGCGATTTTACGACATATTCTTTATTGTAAGTTCTTGTATTGAAGCTGAAGAACGGTATTTTAGTGATACAAGTTTCTTTTCCTAACTATCTTGTATTATGCTTTATCCTGTTAGTATGCTTGATATCAAGAATGAAGAATAATAGTGTTACTTAGGTGCGACTTCCTTGTATCTCGGTATATCCTTTAGAACATATGATTGATGTCAAGAGTGAAGAATTATAGTGTTACTTAGGTGCGACTTCCTTGTATCTCGGTACATTCTTTAGAACACATGATTGATATCAAGAGTGAAGAATGATAGTGTTACTTCCTTGTATCTCGGTATATTCTTTAGAACATATGATTGATATCAAGAGCGAAGAATTATAGTGTTACTTAGGTGCGACTTCCTTGTATCTCGGTATATTCTTTAGAACATATGATTGATATCAAGAGCGAAGAATTATAGTGTTACTTAGGTGTGACTTCCTTGTATCTCGGTATATCCTTTAGAACATATGATTGATATCAAGAGCAAAGAATTATAGTGTTACTTAGGTGTTACTTCCTTGTATCTCGGTATATTCTTTAGAACATATGATTGATATCAAGAGCGAAGAATTATAGTGTTACTTAGGTGTTACTTCCTTGTATCTCGGTATATTCTTTAGAACATATGATTGATATCAAGAGCGAAGAATTATAGTGTTACTTAGGTGTTACTTCCTTGTATCTCGGTATATTCTTTAGAACATATGATTGATATCAAGAGTGAAGAATGATAGTGTTACTTAGGTGCGACTTCCTTGTATCTCGGTATATTCTTTAGAACATATGTTTGATATCAAGAGCGAAGAATTATAGTGTTACTTAGGTGTTACTTCCTTGTATCTCGGTATATTCTTTAGAACATATGATTGATATCAAGAGTGAAGAATGATAGTGTTACTTAGGTGTGACTTCCTTGTATCTCGGTATATCCATTAGATCATATTATTGATATCAAGAGTGAAGAATGACAGTGTTACTTAGGTGCGACTTCCTTGTATCTCGGTATATCCTTTAGAACATATGATTGATATCAAGAGTGAAAAATGATAGTGTTACTTAGGTGTGACTTCCTTGTATCTCGGTATATCCATTAGATCATATTATTGATATCAAGAGTGAAGAATGACAGTGTTACTTAGGTGCGACTTCCTTGTATCTCGGTATATCCTTTAGAACATATGATTGATATCAAGAGTGAAGAATGATAGTGTTACTTCCTTGTATCTCG